CTATTATTTTTTTGAGAAATGAAGTGTAAAATTAACACTTATTATTCCTGAGCAGAGGAAAAAAAAGAGGTGGGGAGGGGGAACTCTGGGATTTTCGCGCTTGCTGGGTGGTTTGTTTGGCAGTTTGGGTTTTTATTTATTTTTATTTTTAAAAAATCATAATGAATCAATGGATTCCCTGTGTCAGCCCCGACTTAGGGGGACTGGGAGGCAAGATCTGCAGCGAGCAGGCGAAATCTGCATTTCACTTTACAAATGAGCGGGGCTGCATAATTCACTTGAGTTGCTTGGGTCTCTCTTATGGATGCCTGTCATGTGCTATAAAAAAAGAAAAAAGAAAAGAAAGGAGAGGAAGTAATTGTGCGTCTTAACTCACAAAATCCTCCAGCCCCCACGCCAGGGCGGAGGGGCCTGCAGGTCCCAGACAGCTTTGTCATTCTGCTCCAAGGCGTCCCCGAGCGCTGTGTGATCTTATATAATTCAGGAAAGTTATTCTCGGAGGGTGCCGCTGTCTGTGGACCCTGTGACTTGGGACAGAATGAGAGGTTGTCAGCGTCGGAGGTGGAGACGGATGGGGCAGCCGATTCTGGCAATATCCGCAGGCTGGCAGGCACCGGGTCACGGGCGCGCAGAAGGGTGTTCCTGCACTAACTAGGACAGCCCCTCCTGCTCTTGCCGCCCCCTGGCCCTCCCCTGTTTTCCTGGATGGTTTTATAGGCAGAGGCACACATAATGGACACCCCAGGGAGCGCCTCCGACCTGCTCCCGTGGGGAGAAGGCCTCATCCACCAGAAAGCAGATTTGTAAATCAGAAAGTCCAGCCTTGAGTGGGAGGGATTCCCAGGTCTGTGGGAACCCCCAGTTCTTCTTCTCATCCCCCCCACTTTTACTTTTTGCTAGTTTTATTCTTCCTCTTCCCTCTCCCCAGGTGTGAGTCTCTGTAACACAAGAGGGAGATGGAGTGTGAGGAGGGGGCCCAGCAGCCTGCGGTTGTGGGGCGGCCTCCTGATCTCATTAGCCCAGAACCTCCATGCCGGATTGGGGCTGTGATTTGCTTAAATGGCAGCTGTTTAGGCCCAGAATCGGCTTGCAGCTCCCGGGCCGCCTGACTGTGCACATATTTATGGACATGGGCGTTGGGTGTAGCTGCGTCTGTGAATCAGGGGGGCCGGCTGATGAATTGCTCAGCACTCGGAGAACGGAAAGTGACTGTCAGACGTGATTTCTCTGATTTATAAGTTGCGGGAGCCTTCTTTGTCCTCTCAGTGTTTGTATATCAGAGGGGCACATCTCCATTCACAGCCAAGTGGATACAGGCCCCCGCTCAGCAGAGAGCAGTAAATCCTCCTTTGCCATCTCAGCCCGAGGAGCAGGGCCCGGCTGGGCAGGGGAAGAGGGGCCTGACCCAGGGACATCTCCACGAGGATTTCCTCAGCCTCTCTTGAGGACCCAGGTGGGGCCTGTTCTTTGGGGGCCGGAAGAGAAGTGGCCATATCTTAGTTGCCAGGACCAGAAAGACTCCTAGGATATGGTTCAATGAACCAGGGTTCACTGTGACTTACCAGGGGCTGCCATGCTTGCTGGTATAGTCAGGGGAGGCTGCCTGGAGGTGGTGTGCAGATAGACTACATAAGAATAAGGAGGGCTTTGTATATCCTGTTCAGAGCACTCCCCTCATTGGCTGTGTTCCCTCAGCAAGTGGTCTAATTCTCTGATCCCATATTTTCCCTCTAGAAATGTGGTTTTCCCAGCAAGCAGTGTTAATTCTGCGATTCAATTATATTATAAACTTAAACTTAAGTTATACTATAAACTATAATAGAAACCTCTTTATTATTGTCATTTTCATGTAGCCTTTGCCTCATTAATGTCCAAGTGGTGGGTGTCCATATTTTAATAGGGAGGCCATATATAAAGTTGGTTTCATTCATTCATTCATTCATTCATTCATTCATTCATTCATTCATTCCTTGAATCTGTCCTTACTCTGTGCCTGTCACTGAGCAGCATTGTTTTGGGGGGAGTATTGGGGGTCTTTTGAGGCAGTCCCCCACACTGGAGGCCATCTCTAATTATGATGAGAGCCTCTCCATGGGGAGCGGAGGACGTGCGTGGGGCCTGTGCGGCGAGCGTGCTGAGCCCGCCCTGTGTCCCAAAACTTGTCAATGAATTCCTTTTCTGCTAGTATAAATGGAAGATCAGCTTGAATCTGTCGGGTGCATGTGGCCTAGTTGCCGGGGCTCCAGGGGCGCGACAAACACCCGGTAGATTCCAGCCAGTGGGCTATGTGGGGCAGGCCCACCAGCACGTGCACATGTGGATGTGTGCCTCTGTGGTGGGGTGCCGGAGGGGTAGGGGGTGGCTGGGCTGGTGGGGGGGGCATGCCTGCTGCCCCTGCCAGCCCCTGCCAGGGTCTAGGGACCCAGGGGCTCAACAGAAGCCTCAGCCCATCTGTGTTCACATCTTGCCCCTGGCTGAGTCCTTCCCCTACCTTATTTTTGCCTTTGAGGCCAAATCGGAGCACCTGGCGCTTTTGGTGCAGCTGGTCCCCTGGGGGAGCAGGGAGTGCGTGTCCTTGGCTGTCCCAGATAACACTCTCCGATCCATGCCTGGCAGCCAGCACTTATTGAGCACTTGCTGTGTGACAAGCACTGGCCCCAGCCACCTTTCTTGTATTGACTCAATTAACTCTCACACCGTCATTGGCGGAAGGCTGTCTTTAAAGGGGGAGAGGGGTAGTGACTTACTTTCAAGACAATTTTGTAAGGACAGTTTTAGGTGTACCATAAAATGTGGATGATACAGAGGTTTCCTTCATAGCCGGTGTCCCCACACATGCACACCCTCCCTAGTTATCAAAATCACTCACCAGTATGGGACTTTTTTTTTTTCTTTCCAAAAATGAACTTCAATGATACATCATAATCACCCAGAGTCCATAGTTGGCCTTGGGGTTCACTGTTGGCATTGCACACTGGACAAACGACATACATACCTCATTATACTCATTACACACCCAGAGCATGCTCGCTGCCCTCACAACCCTCCCTCTCCACCTTTCACTACCACCCCCTGTCCCGGCAACCACTGATCTTGTCATCATCTCCATAGCTCTCCCTTTTCCAGAATAGTTGGGATAACACAGTGCATGGCCTTTTCAGATTGGCTTTGTGGCACAGTAGTTCATATCTTTTCAGTGCTGATTTAAATTTTTGTCTGGTTTGGTGATTATGAATAACCAATATTAACGTTGGTGTGGATGGAAGTTTTCAGCTCCTTCGGGTAAATACCAGCGAGTGTAATTGCTGGATCAGATGGCTGGAGTTTTGTGAGAAACCACCCTTCTGCATCCCCAGCAGCAATGGATGAGCCGTCCTGTTGCCCCGCATCCTCACCAGCATCTGCTGTTGTTTGTGTTCTGGATTTTAGCCACTGCAGTAAGAGTGTAGTGGTAGGGGGCCTCCCCTGGTGGCGCAGCGGTTGAATGCTGGGCTGTGAAGCTGCCCTCAGCCTCTGCAGCACCGGTTCGATCCCCAGTCACTGGCCAGGGTCCCACATGGTGCGCAGACCTCTCCGGCTGCACCTGCTGCTCCCCTCAGCAGTGTATTTTGTCAGTCTGCCTGTTCTGTTCCCCGCTCTGGCTCTGGTGAATTCTCTTACCCTCCCGCGCTTCTGACTGTACCCAGTGCTTGTATGAATAAATAAATAAATCTTAAAAAAAAAAAAAAAAGAGTGTAGTGGTAGGAAGGCTGTTACTGAGCGCTGTAGACAAGAGGACACTGAGGCACAGTGAGCTTGTGTAATTCACTCAAGATCATGCCGTAAGTGGCAGAGCAGGGTTCCGACTCCGGGGTGATGTGCCAGAGGATCAAGCCAGCGTAATTTCCCATGACCCTTACTGACCACTGGGCTGTACTGGTCAAGGGGCCGGCCCCTTAGCTCCTCTCACAGCCCTTGGAGCATGGACTTGGGGGCCTCATTTACAGAATTGATGCCCAGGACACAGCATGGCGAAGCCAGGACTTGCACTCTGCCCTGTGATTCTGGCTGGGGGCCCCAGACGTAGGCTGTGTGCCTCCTTGACCGTGGCAGAAGTGGCATTTGGGACATACTTTCTTCTCTGGGCACTTTAAGTGAAGGTTTGGGGTCCCTGCAGCTTCTAGGTGGAGAGATAGAACATGGGCTGATCCGGAAGCAGGACAGGGTGTCAACTATTATCCCTGATCTACTGCGTAATCTTCTGTTTCAAAACTTTAAAAAGAGTATTTTATAGTGTTTTGGGATTTTCCCTGTGGCTGTCCATCGCAGAGTAAAGTCCCAGTGGGGGCAGGAAAGACTCTGCCCTGTGCTTCCCTCAGGCCTCTCTGACTGTACCCCAAGGCACAGTCTCAACTCCCTCTTGCCCCAGCTTCAGGCATACTCTCTCCAAGCTGACCCAGCTCAGGGGCTTTGCCCTGGACCCTGACCCTGTCCTAGAGTGCTCTCCCAAGTTCTCCCCTTGCCGCCTGTTGGTCATCTTTATTGTCTGTCTCCCCCACTGCTAAATGGGAGCAAGCACGTCATCTGTTTTGTTCCCCACATAATCCCCGGATCATATCAATGTGCCTGGCACATCCTCCATGCTGAGTAAATGTTCCATTGCATTTCTAAAATCCAAGGAGGTGGATGCCCTTGTCCATGCAGATCGCATCCTGGACCCCTCTCCGGATCTCACGGCCTCAGGTTCAAGTGGTTGAATGTGGCCGCACAGGTTGTCCCTGAGCCAGGGGGGAGGAAACTCACAGCCAGTGACTTCAGGAGGCAGATATTTGGTGTCCTGGGGGGGGTGGGGGGGTGGGGGCCATATGCCTCCAGGGCTGCACCATCTGGAGCTGGTTGGGTCTCAGCCTCTGTGGCCTCCAACTAGCCCCAGTCCTGGCCTGAGGCACCCGGGCCCCATGGGCTCCCGCTGGGAGAGAGTGGCTTGCAGGGTCCCTGACTGGTCGTGGCTTTTCTTGCAGAGGAAGGCATCAACCACGAGTGTAAGCTGTGCAACCAGATGTTCGACTCCCCGGCCAAGCTCCTCTGTCACCTCATTGAGCACAGCTTTGAGGGCATGGGGGGCACCTTCAAATGCCCCGTGTGCTTCACAGGTAAGGTGCCTGGCGGTGGAGTGCATGGGAAGAGGGGGTACCCAGCTCAGCCTTTTAGTTACTGCACCTCACTCTTCCCTTTGGATTCCGTGGGAGTTGCCCTAAGGCAGCTGGATTTTGTGGGGGATCTGAGGCATCAGCAGCCCCATTGTCCCACTTGCCTCCGTACAGAGCTGACCCCCCCCCATCTGTGCTCTCTGGTCTCTCCTCTTAGACAGGTTGGGTGGCCCCTTCCTCACGCTCCCCTCACCCCTGCACCTGACTGCTGCAAGTCCTTCCTCCACCCGAGCCTCGGCCCTCCATGCCGTCGGCCCCTGGTGGTCTCCATGTCCAGCTCCCTGAGCTGCATGCTCTGTCCAGCGGCAGTGGAGCCCTCCTGGGCACACCTCCTGCCTCCCCCTCCAGGCTCCATTTATGCTACAGGCTGGAGGGGTCAAGGGCAGCTCTGCTCACCAAGGCCCCAGCCCTCGGCTCCCAGACTGGCTGCCAGCCCAGGCAAGCGGCTGTCCCGGCCCGAGGCGAGTCTCAGGGGCTCTGCTGGCCCCCCTCCTGCTGCCCAGATGGCAGCCGGTGTGCGTGGGGGAGCCTGGCCTTCCTCGGCCTCCCCCGACATCTGCCGTCTGCCACGACGGGAAGCCCACCCTGGGGAGGGCGCCTGGCAGGAGGGGGCTCTGAAGTGCTCACCTCCCAGACATGCAGCTGCTGCAGTGCTGCCTCCCATGTGTGCCGGTGCCTGCACCCTGTGGGCTCCTGCCACCGGGAAGCCAGTGCTGTGCGCCGCGCCATGGCGAGCCTGAGGAAGGGGCTCTGCTAAGGAGCAAGTCCCCCCACGCTTCACGCCCTTCAAGCTCTGCCACAGGCTTGTACCACCCGCTGCCTCCCTCCCCTCCAGTCTCAGGGGCCCCCACCCATCTGTTCCCCTCACATTCCACGGGCTGGGTCGGGGCTGGCACCAAGGGGCCCCAGCTGCCAGGCCTGCCGCCGAACCAAGACACGGGCCCCTGTGTGGGGCTGCGGCAACCTCAGACAAGAGGAGACTAGTTGTTTACTGAGCGCCTTCTCATACCAGGCTGCTTCCTAGTCTCAGCCTCAGCTCTGCCGCCTGCAGGCAGCGGGACCTCACACACGCCCGTCCGCCTCCCAGAGGTTCCCTTCCACAGCTGAGCCACCTCCCAGGCCTGCACTGGGTTCAAGGAGCCCTCATCTGGAAGGGGCCTGGCAAAGAATGACGATGACAGTGACTTCCACTGGGCCTTGTACACCAGGCCACCTTTTAAGTCTTTTGCGAGTATTGTCCTATGTGGTTCTCCCAGCCACTCAGTGAACTACATACTTTAATGATCCCCATGTTTTGGATGAGGAAGTGAAGCCCAGAGAGGTTAAGTGACTTGTCTAATATTGCACGGCCCTTAAGAGGCAGAGCCTGGTGTCATTGGCTCAGGTGCCCCCTATGAGGTGGCAGTATTGTCTGGATGGCCCACCGTTTGGCCAGCTGTCCGTGCCTCCATGGTCCCCATTTGTGAGTGTTGTGGGCGAGGCTGCTCTGGTGGTTGGGCGGGTGTCCCCAGAGTTTGGCCCTCACAGCCATGTCTGTGTCCAGTCTTTGTCCAGGCCAACAAGTTGCAGCAGCACATCTTTGCTGTGCACGGGCAGGAGGACAAGATCTACGACTGCTCGCAGTGCCCACAGAAGTTCTTCTTCCAGACCGAGCTGCAGGTGAGTACCCTGGTCTGCTGCACATGCCCCACTTGGGGCTTCCATTTCCCCACCCATATTACATGATGACAATCCACTGAACTTTGGATCTGTGGCCAGTGGCTGTGTGGCCTTTGTGGCTGGTCCTGGAGCTTTGTGCAGCTCGGAGCTGGGTCTGGGAGCCTCCAGCTATGCCCAGAAAAGCCAGAAAATATTACAGTGAATGCCTGGTTGGGCCCCAACTTGGAGAAAGAACCACCACAGCCCCGGGTCCTGAGGCTGGTGTGGCCTCAGCTGGGCACAGTGGGCTGGATCAGCTTCCTCCGGCCCCCTCCAGGGCCTGCAGTAGCTGAGAAGGCCTGTGTGAAGAGAGGCTGCTCTGCCACTCCTCTTGTGGCCATGCCCCTCGGCGTCCTGTGGGGCCTTCTCAGCTGCTACTGGTTTCTGAGGCCCAGGTAAGGCCGCCTTCCCACACACTGGCTTTAGAGGAAATTCTTGTAAACCTGAAGAGGTCAGATGCCCACTCAGAAATACCACACACACTCAGAAAATGCACACGGACTTGGGCAACAGCATCACACACAAAGGAATGTTCTACACACATAATTCTACACAAACACACTCACATACACATGCACACGCACACACACACAGAAGAATGCTATTTCCATAGTGTAACTACACACATAGAAAATATCATGCACAGACACAACATACCACACCCCAGATAGTAGTACCACTCTCACATCCACAGAAACACCCCATCTGGGTCTGTGGTTGGGGTTCAGGTTAGTGATGCTGCATTAGCAAATGCCCCAACAGGGATGCCTGTGCTGCTGGTGTTACATAGAGGCAGGTGCCATCCTGGCCTCGCAGAGGGTCCTCTCCTTTCTCGTGAGTGTGGTCACTGAGACAGGGAGAAGCGTGGGGTGCTGAGTGGCACCCCAGCTTTTACAGCTTCTGCTGGGAAATGGCACCCACCTCCTGCTCTTATATTTTCTTGGCCAGAATAAGTCCCGTGCTATGCCCAGTTTCAACAGGGGCGAGGAAGTTTCCCATCCCCTGCTCCCCACCCTGTGCCTGGAGGCTGAGGGGAGCTGGCGTTTTTCTCGCCCCTAAGGCCTAGCCTGCACGGTGGGCTCTGGTGGCTGTGCCCATGTGCAGTCCCTTATGTGCTGAACCCGCTCTCTGCTGTCACCCCACTTTCAAGGACCAGGCGGAGCCATGGCCAGTAAGCAGGGCAGTCTAAAATTGCTCTGGGGGGCAGGGTACCCCTCTTCAGGGATTGAAGGGGCACAGTGGTGACTTGTTGTGGGTAGTTCCTTTCTTACCTGCTGCTGCCTGTCCTGTCTGCACACCTGGTGGCAGCCATCACTGAGAGGAAATGAAGACAGGACCGTGGTGGACAGGGGTCTCCGCCTGGTTAGGGCCCCCTGTGTGCAGGCTGGATGGGAAGAGCTGACCTTGAAGAGCACCCAGCGGTCTGCTGGAAAGCCTGTTCCACCCTGTCCTTCCGGCCACCTTTCCAGGTGCCCCTGGCCTTGTCTCGAGTGGCCTTAGTTGCACTGTAATGTGGGCCCATTAGGGACCCAGTGACACCTGTAAGGTGGTGACTACTCCCCTCTCACCCCTGTTACCTGCAAACCTGAGTATGCCCCTGAGCTGGGGACTGGCAGGGGACTCTTAGCTGCTTCCACTCTCATTTAGCCAAGAGGAGTAAGTGGGCGGTCATTGGGGAAGTTCCTGATCACGCCTGTGCGCCCTGCCCCCCACTGCAGCCGTACCCACCTCCCACCTGCCTCACCTGCCTGGCCCAGCTACCAAAATAGGCCCCAGGTCCCCAGACAACGGGAGCTTTTTATAGTCCACATGACAGGCCTCTTTTAAATGCACTAGTGCGTATAAACTGTGATTTATCCTAACTTAGGACTTGCTTGGCCCTCCTGGATCCTCCATTGTCCCGGGCGCCTAGAGGGGGTGACTTGCCTCTGTTGGCTGTTACCTTTTTTTCCAGAGAGTTTCCCAGCCTTGCCTTTCCAAGCTTGGTTGGCATCACTGTGCCAGAGACTGACCTTAGGACCAGGGAGCCCTGGTTTTAAGCCATTTCGCTTTGGCTGCACCCACCCAGGGCTGCAGGCTGCACCAGATGCCAGAGTGGTTGTTCGTGTGAGCTGGTGGTTTCCTGGGCCACCCCGTCAACCTTGAAGGCAGATCCTCAAATGCCGAGAACCTCACTAAATTATAGCTTTAACGAGTCACTATTTTCTACAATTAATGATTTTAATTACAGACCATTTAAATGTGGAAGTGTTGCAGCAACGCCAAGTCTATGCAAATCACGGCTTTCGTTAAGTAACTTGAATAGCAATTTTCTGGGTTTTTGAGAGGCGGGTATTTCAGCCGCTGAAGTTTTTGTCGTCATCATACAGAAGCTGGGGCTGGCAGGCAAGGGTGTTATTTCCCTGGGGTGACGTGTGGGGGCCTGGGTGGGGCAGCCCTTATGGGGCCTTAGCTCACTGGTCTCATGGCCTTATGTCACTTGAAGTGGTGGGGGACTCGGAAGCTAACATTTGGAGGTGTGGTTGACTGTGGCCTGGGAGATCTTGAGAAAACACAAGGTTTAGGATTGTGCTCTCTCTAGGATGAGATTTCCTGCTGTGGAGGTAGAGGTAATGGACATGGCATCGGACCTTGGCAGGCTTGGTCTGTGTCCGAATCACGGGTCTGCCTCCGCATGGAATGTTCTCTTAGGATGCATTAACAGGAGCATAGTTGCCAGAATGAAGGATGTTCAAATCATACTTGATTCTGAGTTCACCAGCTCTGGCCAAAGACTGAGATTAATTTAAAGGATTTTGAACAAACTGGGGCAAAGTCATTACAGAGCCATTAGGGGCAAGAGACAGAACTAAGCTTTGCTCTTCACTTGTTCAAAGCATGTATGTGGGTAGCCCACTATGTGCCAGGGACTAGATCCAAGAACTGACAAGACCGTATGAGTGAGACAGAGACCACTTGTGGGGCCTGAAGGATTGATAGACACTGTCCAGTAGTGGCTAATGATGTGAAGAAAATAAAATAAATTAATAGGATAGAGCCTGATTTGGTGGGGGTTGGGAGAATGGGGGTGAGTTTGGGTACTCCTTGGTAAGTGTGGTCAGGGAGGTGGCATTTGAACTGAGGGAGAATATGTCAAAGAGAGCTGTGTGTGCAAAGGTCCTGGCTGCTGTAAGCTAGGTGTGCTGGTGGATAACAAAAAGCACAATGAGTCAGTGGTGTGAAGGGGGCTGGCAGGTGGAGCCCAGGGCACAGTAAGGTTTGCAGGACAGTGAGGGATTCTGGATTTCACCCCCTTTGTGAAGGGCAACCAAGCAGGGAAGAGAGACATTAACTGATTTAGACCCTGATTCAAAATTTAAGAAGTTTGACCTTTGAAAGACACTGTTAAGAGACTGAAAAGTCATGGGCTAGAAGAAAATATTTGTAATTCACATATCTGATTAAGGATTTACATCTAGAACATATTTTTTTGAAACCTTAAACTGATTAAGAGGGGGGAAATCAACTAAAAAAGGACCCCCAAAATTCGATGCTTCCCCAAAGAAGGTGGGCACATGCATGCGAAAACTGCTGGGTAAGGCCACCGACATGCTTATCACACAAAAGAAACAGAAGCCAAAGCTGCAACGGCTCTGGAGTGGAGGAGCGGGTGGGACATCGAACTTCTCTGGTGGAAGTGCAAAATGGCATGGCCACAGGGCAAGATCATACCAGTGCCTTAGAACATGCTTAACGTATTGCCTAGCAGTGCTACTCCTAGATGTTTCCCCAAGAGGACTGGGCGCGTGTTCCCACAAACCCTCTGCGGGAATGATGACAACAGCTTTATAAATAACGGCCCCAAATCAGGAACCCCCTGATTGTCCCTGATTGGTAGATGAGGTGGTACTACTACCCAGCAATAAAAAGCATCTGCTACTACTACAACAACACAGAGGAATTGCAAGGGCCAGGTGCAGGAAGCCAGACTCAAAAGGATCCATACAGCGTGGTTTAAAGACATGACATCCTGGAAAAAGGCAAAGCATTGGTGCAGAAGACAGAACAATAGTTGATGGGGACTGGAGGTGGGGGAAGAGTTAGGGAAGACTAAACAAGGTTCATGTGCATGCATACACAAACACACACACACACACGCACACGCACACGCATGCACACACATGCTCAGGCCGTGTGCTGGGCTTCGGGCAGCTGGCCTTACTTCCAGGAGCTTGGCGGACTGTTTATCCAGAAGCCGTGGGTTGCAGTGAGGTGGGGGTGGCTGTTTGCAGGCATTCTGAGCTCTGTCATGGACAGGGGGCCATGCCTGCTGTGGCCTCAGGACTTCCGTAGTAAGAAGAAACTTAGGGCGTGGATTTTAGTTTCTGGTTTCTGACAATCACGACGTCTCTCTGGAGTTAGAGCAAGCAAGACGGTAATAAATCGTAGGGACACAAGTTCAGATGCCAAGAGCAGGAAGCGTCCTGTGTTTTGGTGGTCCTGTCTCAGCAGCCAGGAGTCCCTTTGTCCCGGCTCTGCCTCTTCCTGTGCCGTCTCCCTGCAGCCTGATCTTCTGGGCTCCGCACAGGGGGAGGTGGCTAGCACCGCCGCGGCTCCTCTCATTTCTGCTGACCTGGATAAATGTCACACCTGGATATTTCAACAGAGGGGATTTGGTTACACCAGTAGCCAGAAGAAACACCCAGCTGGCTCAGAAGCAGTGACTGCAGGCACCAGCCAGCTCATAGGCTACAGGCTCTGGTCCCTGCAGAGGGCAGGGGTCCCATGGTTGAGCCCAGGTCAGCTGCTGCAGTGAGCTGTGGCCGGGATCAGGCCCTTCAGTACAAACCAGCAGGGAAAGGGACACATGGACTGGTAGGCACCAAAACTGTGTTCAGTGGAAGAAGTGTATGGTGGTGAGGTCCCCGTCAGTAGAGGTGTGCAAGCTGAGCACTTGTCTGAAATGCAGCAGAGGGGGAGGT